CGACCTGTAAGTGTGTCAGAATCAAGTGCACGCCCCTCACGTCACGGGGGGGGACGTGCTTTAAGAGGAAGGCGGTGGACGGGGTCCAGCAGAACCTCCACTCGCCTTTCCTGTTACGGAGCATACGGTCGCGGTGGGAAAGGGTCAGTCCCTTCTAAGAGCCACGTCCTTCAGAAATCATGCATTTTATTTGTCAGCAGTGAGAGAGCAGTTCTCCTTAGCAGGAAATGGCTCCACTCAATATTCCTTAAGACACGTACCTGAGAACTCTGTAAAGCGTAGGTGTCCTGGTTAAGTCAGTAATATAAAGCCTTTACAAATGTGATCGAGAAGTGCTCAGGTGTGACTGAAGTCAAACTCGGACTAAAAACAGTCTTGGCCTAGTATTAATTTATCACTGGGTGTTGGCACTGAGACTTGTGTCTTTCCAAATTTCTGCAGTGAGAATGGAGGATTTTAATTTTTCCAGCTTTTTTGAGGCATGTGTGACAATAATCATCGCATGTATTTAAAGTGTAAAACGTGATGTTCTAATGTACCTGTCGTTGTGGACTGATGCCCCCAGTCAGGCTAATTAACCATCCATCATCTCCCATATTCACCTTGTTTTGTGTGTGTGGTGAGAACACTGAAAGATCTACTCAACAGACTGCAAGTACACATACACCGTGTTAAATGTAGTCACCGTGTTGTGCATTAGATCTCCAGCTGATAGTGAATGACAGTCTGTTTCAGGCTGGTAGCTTAAGTCTCATACAGAAACCTCTACACTGTTACTTCTTGGAGTAGTGATCAAAACAAAACCATAAACCTTTAAGAAGTTCAGCTAAACTCATTAGTAAGATAGTAAAAACCAACTTAGAGGGTCGAGAGTGAAGCTGTAGTCTTTGCATTTTCTTTTTTCCTTTTTATCCTTGTAAAAACAGTAACTCAAGCACAGGAAGTTTGGGTTTCAGAGACAACCAGCCACCCGTGACCCCAGCCCTGCTTTGACTGACTGCTCTTCAGTCTATGCCCAAGTTCATATGAAGTTTTTACATAATTGCAGTTGCCATTAAAAATTTTAAATCATGTTTTCACTATCTTGCATTATGTATACATAAAAATTCTTACTGTTTCAAAGTATTTTCTTAAAGATGCCATAACGTGGAGGAACCGAGTTTATTTCCCCATTTCCCAGTTTGTTGGACATTGAGGTTACCTCTAAGTTTTGGTTATTCTCAAATAGCCTGACGTCAGTGCATTTAACTTTTAAAAGTTATTATTTTGGATTATTTCCTTCTAAAAAAGACTCAGTTTAGTGTGTGAGTTGGTATAAGTTGCCACATTGCATTCTGGAAGGATTTGAGCTGTCTGGCCAGCAGCAGTGTGGATGACCTCACACCCAGCTCACGTCCTTCCACTCACCGTAATATCTTTCTGATCACTTTAAAACCAAACACAACTAAAACCAGGGACACCCAAATGCATACATATGCAAAGGACACGTGTAGGCAGCACAAGGAACTGTCATTGGAAGATACGCACACGGACCCTTACTCAGCCAGGCCAGTGGTTCTCGGGGGCAGATTGGCTTCCAGGAGACCTTTGGTGATGTCCCAAGGCATTTTTGGTTGTCACGACTCTGAAGAGATGTTACTGGCATACAGTGGGTAGGGAGCCAGGGTGCTGCTAAGCTCCCTCCAAAGCACAGGGCTGCTCCCACAACAAAGCTGTATCTGGCCCAGAGCACCACTGCGTGCCGGGCTGTGGACACCTGAGTCAGGCTGGTGACCCTTGGAGAGCATTCGGACGGAAGTGAATCGTTCCAACTTACTGTTACTCAGCCTTGGATGTTGACGCACATATTTTCCTCCCATTGATGAAAATACAACAAGCCATTAATAGCCTCCCTTGGTGAATGCTGACTTGGAAGATTCTGACCTCGTAGGAGATCAGCAGGCCCGGGACAGGGAGGGCAGCTCGGCTCCCCCGTGGGGCGCTCAGACGGGCGGCGAGCAGAACTGCCAGCCCCGGGGGCTGTGCGTGCCGGACGCACTCTTGTTCTCTTGGGAGGTGACAGGTGAATTGGAAACTCTGGCTGACCCCATCGATCTTTCTAAAGCCTTGTGCCCGAAGCCGTGTACCAGATATGGGGTCCCTCCCAGGGTGTGTTTATAAAATACCGAAAGCTAGAAAGAGTTAGTGTTTCTTAACTTTCTTTGGATTATAGACCCTTTTTGAGAAGCCTGTGAAAGGTGTGGACTCTTTGTTAGCAAATATATAAATGGACAGATACACAGAGTTGTGTATTTAGGGTGAGGGCCCCCGAAGCACACCCGCACGCCCTCTGTTAACACGCCCTCTCCGTGCTGAGAATGAAGGAGCTGACGGAGAGGCCAGTCTCCTGATGCACTGGTTCGTGTTCGTCCAGTCAGAGCAGCCGCACACTGTCCCAGCGCTTGCTCCTGCACCTGTGGCCGGCATCACTGTTGCCGCATCCGACCCAGCTGCCCCCTGCAGCCTTTCTCCCCAGAGCGTGTGGAGTTGGCGTGTCACGTGAACTTGCCATCGCAACCCCACGCCGCGGGGAAATCGCGTTTTTCTAATGCCGGTGCTGGAATGTAGTGGTAATACGTTGGCCCTCCGTGTCCGTGGATGCGGAACCCGGAGATTCAGAGGGCTGACTGTCCTAGGCCATTTTATTAAGGGACTTGGGCCTCCTTGGCTCTGGGGGTCCTCAGGGGCCCTGGAACCTACCGCCCGTAATACTGAGGGATGCCTGTGCTCTGATGATCAGGTCACCCGTCTCGACAGGCCCCTGTATGGAGCACGGTCACCATGTACATGTCAGGGAAAGCCAGTCCGAGGCCTGTGGGCAGTAACACTGCCACAGTCTGAATGACCCGCTCTGAGGCGGTCCCCTCACTGCCGTCCAGCCGGAACGTGGGAGGCTGGCCTTCGTCTGCACGGCTCTTTGTGCTTGATTTCGGGAGGGCTGAGAGCAGGTGAGAGCAGGACTTCCCTCTTGCAGGTTTATAGGCTCGGGAGCGGCTGTGCACCTGCGCTTCTGCCAATCCCGGGCATCTGGAAAATTGTGTGATAACAGTGAACTGGACACACTTTGTTCTCTCAGGATACAGATGTCTTTTTGTTTGCTCCGTTTAAGCCGCGGTGCGATAGTCTGCCACCTGTGGCCTGCATGTGTGTGAGAGTTCTCTTTCTGTGAGTTTTCCACCAAGTCTTCACTTCTCTTGGTCTGTATGTAAGCTGCCCAAGGTCAGGGGCTGTGTCCTTCATTACTTCTACAGAACCTGATGCCCTTCTGTGGGTAGTACTTTGACCCAGTAAGTCCTCTGAACTGAAGGGTGTATTACAAGAGTTAGAGGGTGAGGACACTTAACACTAGGCTCTGAGATGCCTGCAGCTGCAAGAGCTGGTGGTGGGGTAGAGGCTCCTGCTGCTGCTGCTCGGTCAGGAAGCCCCACGCCTGGCTCTGGTTTCAGCCTCATCACTTTCTCTCTCTCTGACCCTGGTCAAGGTCAGTCAGTCAGGTCACCTCCTAGCTTCCTTATCTGATTGACTGATTGCCTTTTTTTCCCCCCTTCGGAAATATTTTTAAATTAAAAAATTTTTAATACAATTTAAAAGTTACTTTCCATTTACAGTTATTACAGAATATTGGGGCATTCCCTATGTTGTACAACAGATCCTTGTAGTGTATCTTACGCTCAGTAGTTTGTGCTTCTCACTCCCCTACCGTCCCCACTGGTAACCACTAGTTTGTATCTGTGAGTCTGCTTCTTTTTTTGTTGTTGTTGTTATATTCACTAGTTTGTTGTATTTTTTTAGATTCCACATATAAATGGTATCATACATTTTTTGACATATTTCACTTAGCACAGTGTCCTCCTAGTCCATCCATGTTGCTGCAAATGGCAACATTTCATTCTTTTTTATGGCTGCGTAGTATTCCATTATATGTATATACCACATCTTTATGTGTTCATCCATTGATAAACATTTAGGTTGCCTCCATATCTTGGCAGTTGTAAACAGTGCTGCTGTAAACATTAGGGTGCATGTATCCTTTCGAATTAGTGTTTTTTGTCTTTTGGGGGCTATACATCCAGGAGTGGAATTGCTGGGTCATATGGTAAGTTCTGTTTTAGTTTTTTTGAGAACCTTCATACTGTTTCCATGTTGGCTGCACCAGTTTACATTCTCACCATTAGGGTACAAAGGTTCCCTGTTCTCCATATCCTCCCCAACTTTTGTCATTTTTAGCTTCCTTATTTGTGTAAGTGGGTAATTCTCTCAATTGCTTTACAGCTCTGAGCCTTGAGATACTCACACAATAAATTCCAGGCAGGAGGCAGCTGATTGGGAGCTCAGGCTGAATTAGATTGTACATCCCAACAGTAACTCTCTGATAACAACTGGATGTCCTCCAATTCAGTTTTTTAAAAAATAAACCTTAAAACTTTTGAACCATTTTAGATTTACAGAATGATTGCAGAGAGCGTGCAGATCCTGTTCCCCACACCAGTTCCCCTGTTGTTAACACTTAATGTTGGTATGGTGTCCTTGTCACAGTTAAGTACCCAGCATAGATGCGTTATTATTAACTGAAATTCGTACTTTATTCACGCTCCCTCAGTTTTCCCCTAATGTCCTTTTTCTGGTTCCCAGCATACATCACGTTTATTCATCATGCTTCCTTAGGCTCCCCTTGGCTGTGACAGTTCCTCAGACTTAGATTTTTTATGATCTTGATAGCTTTGAGGAGTCCTGGTCAGGTATTTTGTAGAAACGTCCTTCAGCTGAGGTTTACCTGATGTTTTTCTCACAGTTAAATTGGGGCAACACATTTTGGGGAGGCAGGCCACAGAGGTCAAGTGCTGTCCTCGTGAGTTCACGTCAAGGGTACGTGCTGTCAGTCTGACTTACCGCTGTCCATCACCTGAGGGAGGTTATGTGTGTCAGGTTTCTTTACTACAAACTTTGTTTCTTCCCCCTGTGTGCTGTAATCTTTGGAGACAGTCACCCTGCTTGGCCTGTACTTACAGGCTGGGGAGTTAAGCTCCCCTTCCCTAAGGGCGGAGTGTCTGTATAAATTATCTGGAATTCTCCTGCACAGGAGATTTGACTCGTTTTATTGTCTGATTATTTATATCAGTATGGACTCATGGATATTTATTTTATACTTAGGGTTATAATTCAATACTGTTTTATTTATTTTTTGCTCAAATTGTTCCAGCTTTGGCCATTGGGAGCTCTTTCAGTTGATTCCTTTATCCAGTTGACATATCCCTGGTATAATGAGTTCGCCCTTTTTTTAAAAAAAATCACCTTTTTACATTCTGACACCAAAAGATGCTCCAAACTCATTTTCATATATTTTCTGCCCCAGTCCTAGCATCATTCAATCCACCATTTCTCCAAGGAGCCCTTGTTCTTTTTATTGGAGAACAGTATATAAGCAACCAAGATCTGGGTACTAGGTGTGCTTTTTGCTACTAGGGTGTCATTGCTGCTGGGCCCTCTCAGATGACAGAGCAAAGAGAGATTGTGTGTGCACTGGCTTGTGTTACATGTAGATACTGATAAATGTTTCTATCTGTATCTGTATTTAGTTAAACATGAGTTCATACTGCTGCCTTCAACTCCAGTCCATTTAAATTAACATAATAGTATGGAACTGGTTATGTTCTCAACGTGCAACACCATTTGGTCATTTTATCAATTTTTGTGACTCCAGATATTTTGAAACTGCCTGTGGCAATAACCAGTCAGTGCTTATCCAAATGCGTTCATCTTTTCTTTCCCCCTAGCAAAAATACTACGTTTCGAATCTTTCCTTGCAGTTAGGTATGGCCGAGTGACTAAGTTCTGGCCAGTCGGGAAAGGAAGTTGTGCGGTGGGACTTAACAGGAAGGCTTCTGAAAAGGAGGACAACTCACTGCACATCCCTTTCCCTTTTCTCCTCCCTCCTTTCTGCTGCCTGGGTTTCACATGAGACAGCTGGACCACTAGCAGCCATCCTGGGTCAGGAGGTAATCGTGGGGATAGAAACCGGTGCTAGGATACTGAAACGGAAAGAGAAGCCTGGATTTTTGATGACTCAGGGCTGCCCTCCTAGCCCCGGACTGCCTGCCTCAAGATTTCCTTTATGTGAGCAACAAATAAACTGCTGTCTTTTGGCTTTTTTGTTTCACCTAGCCAAACTTCATGCTCACTTATACACGTTTTGAAAGTGCCTTTAAATATTGTTTCTTAAACCAGATCATTTTCATAAATGCTCATCTGTTTGCCCCAAGAAAGACTCCTTAGGAAAGGCCATTTAGAACTGAGTCCTGAATAAGGAGTAGAGAAGGGAGGTTTGGACGTGTCAGGAAGGAAAGAGAACCTGGGGCCCAGGGTGATGGGGCCAAGCAGGTGGTATCCGATGGCCATGGAGGGAAGCAAGGAAGGGCACACACTCTCCCACTGAGCTGTACCCTCCCCCTTCAAGCACGTTTTAATTACTCTTTGAGACATTTTTCTGATGGCTGCTTTAAAATCTTTGTCAAATCATTTTAACTTCTCTGTCATGCTGGATTGCTATCTGTTGA